TGACCTTGACTATTTTTTTATATTAGCGTATGTGTATGCACCCTTCTTATCCTACCTATCACATGTCTGTCATTCATTTTAGTTTGACTATAAATGTTGATTAATGCTTGCTTATAACGAGTTGGCTTCCCAGCCATCTCCACTCTGCGTCATCTTTCCTTCGCTTGCTTACATTTGCTAATGTGCTCACTGCCTTCTAGCCCATGTTAGTTATCAATAAAAATGTAGTTGCTGCTTCCCTTTGTCTTCTGATATTATACACCGTTCAGATTGTTATAATAACGGTTATCAAGACGATCGATTAACGAAGCACTACACTACAAGATCATGGGGAGTCAGTCAGTCACAACGCAGAACTTCGTACGTACGTACATCAGTCCGAGTTGCCATACCACATTAGCACAGACATTCAGCTGTTGATTCAAATCCCATAGTGGTAGAAGTAGTAAGACTATAAGCATTATGTGAAAGATTAGGGTTTAAAGACGTTATTGAAGGAGTATAATCCAATGAAATAAATTTGGAAAGAGAAAAAGGATAGGGACATGAGGAATTCAGAAGATTAGAATTTGGTAGAACACAAAGAGTGGGTGCACCTCCGCCATTGCAAACGATTTTGAGCCATGTCATTCAAGGTCTCTAACCATCGGATGTTATCATCTTGCAGATCCCAACCAACTAGTCTGCACCTACCAACATGGCCCAGTCCACTTGTCAGTGACTTGATGGATTTGTGCCACGTCTGGCCGTATCTAGCTTTCTTCCAACCTACGCTTACACTATAAAACATTGCACTTCGGGGCAGTCGGTGGTTGGGCATACGTAACACGTGTCCCAGTCATCTCAACCGATGAAGTTTCACTACTTCATCAATCGATTTGCCATCCCTACCTAGTACTCGTTTCCTAACAACTGCATTACTTACCCGGTGGTCCCAGGATATACGAGCAATGCTTCGTAGACACCTATGATCGAATACTAGTAGCCTACGAATATCCTCTACTCTTATCGGCCATGTTTCACTGCCATAAAGTAGGACGGAGCGAACTGCTGCACAGTAAACCCGTCCTTTGGTTGCTAGACGGATATCTCGCCTACGCCATAAATGACGCAAGTTGGCGAAAGCTAGACGAGCCTTCTGTATCCGTGCTAAGATTTCGTCACACACCAGACCACAAGGGCTGATGAGACTCCCAAGATAAGTGAAGTGGTCAACACGCTCAACTACTTCACTCCCTATCATTAGTTCAGGTGTCGATGCAACCCAATCATGAAGTAACATTTTGCACTTCGAGGGAGAGAATCGCATCCCGAACATGCCTGCATAGTTGCTTATAGTGGTCAGAAGACTCTGCATGTTGTCAGCGTCTTCACCGAGTAAAACTATGTCGTCGGCGTATTCTAAGTCAACAAGTGAGCCTCCCGGTAAAAGTTCAACTCCAGGAGATTGAGATGATAAAAGTGTTATCTCTAAAAGCATGTCAACGACAAAGTTAAACAAGAATGGATAGAGTGGACAGCCCTGACGAACACCACTTGAGGTGATCAATTCTGATGACAGTTCGCCATAGGCTCTAACTCGACCAGTTGTGTTCGAGTAGAGAGCCTTTATGAGGTTAATGTACTTCTTTGGTACTCCTTTCAGTGACAAACATTGCCATAGAACCTCACGATCAACGAAGTCAAATGCCGCCTTCAGGTCAAGAAATACTATGATTGTGAGACGTCTGAATGCATGTCTATGTTCTAGGACCTGACGTAGAGTAGATATCTGGTCTATGCAACCGCGTCCAGGTCGAAAACCAACCTGGTTTTCTCTAATCTGCTCTTCACGATCTTTGGTTAGGCGACCTAGTATTATTGAAGCTAATATTTTAGACACTATATTAGTCAAACTGATCCCTCTGTGATTGTCACAAAATGACTTTTGTCCTTTCTTATAAACTGGCACAATCAGTGATTGGGACCAGTCAGATGGAATTACGCCCAGTTCCCAGATTCTACCTAAGACCTCAGTCGATCTCTCTGCTAGTACTGGACCGCCATCCTCAAAAATCTCAGGAGTAAACTTGTCACGGCCTGCCGCTCTCCCTCGCTTCAGATTTCCTATAGCTTTTTCAACCTCGTAGAGAGTTGGAGGACTTATATCAATTTGCCATTCAGGACGACTGGGGATCGTGGATAATTGAAGTGTGGCTGAAGGCCAGTTGAACTGAACCCTAAAGTGTTCTGCCCATCGATCCAATCTCCTGGATTGAGAATGAATAATATGCCCATCTTTATCTGAGATGGTTTCACTGATATTCGGGTTCCTAATACCGGTTTCTTTAACGAGTCTGAATAGCTGCCTACTGTTACCTATTGCCGCTGCCTTTTCAATCTCTCTTGCTTTCGCTACCCACCACTGTTCACGATCATTACGTAGGCTTCTTATAAGCCTGCGCTTAAGTTGACTCCGCTCTTCGTTATGTTCAGAGCCAGTTGGGATGAGTTTACGAGCATCTATCAGTGCGGTAGATGCTGCCGAGATCCATTGTTTCTCCCTAACGTTATGGTTTACCTTACTAGCGGATATCACTGCTGTTTCCACAGCTTTTCGGATGTCATTCCACGCTGCCTCGGGGTGGGCATAACTTACATGGCTGCCTAACTGTTTTTCTAGTTGTTCCTGAAATATATTCTTAGATTGCCTATCATTAAATAGAACCCTTAGAGGCTTCCCTGCAGTGTCTTTCCTACGACCAGTAAGACGCAGACAGATACGTGCTCACACTAGAGCATGATCTGAATCTAAACATCTGCCCCAGAATGAGCGACAGTTTTCTATCGAGCCCCTCCATCGGTGGCTGATAGCGATGTGATCTAATTGGGTCCAACGTTGGGACGAATTCGGGGGTCGCCATGTCAAAAGATGTTTTTCCTTATGCTTAAAGTTAGTATTTGCAAGAAATAGGCGGTCATCTGAGCATAGCTGCAACAGACGGTCTCCATTATGTTCTTTGAGCTACGAGACCATAAGATCCACCCAGGTGTCTTTCCCTTTCACTTAGTTTACCTACTTGAGCATTAAAGTCACCTGCCACTATTACTACATCAGAACGCCTAGCTTTTCGGAGAAGGTCAGAAAGTTTCCTGTAGAACTCATCTTTTATATCGTCTGAGCTGCAGTCAGTGGGAGAGTAGGCAGAGACGACGAAGAGGCAACGATGAGTTTCTCTATCTTTCCGGGTCCTTACTGATCCGTTTAGTCGGACAGCGCATAGACGACTGTCTACTGGGATCCAGTCTAAAAGAGCTAATTCTGCCCTAGGACTTAATGCTATACCTACTCCAGCGAGACCACGGGAAGCAGCATCAGGGCTTCCAGATACACGAAGTGTGTATCGAGATGAAACTTTATTTTGACATGGTGAGGTCAAATGAATGACGCTACTCGGATCTTGTATGCGCGTTTCGGAGACGCAGTACACATCGATGGTGTAAGATTCTAGAGTCCTAGCTAAGGCAGCCTGTTGTCCTATTTGACACAATGTTCGGACATTAAAAGTTCCTATATGTAATTTAGAGCGTGGATTCAGGAGACCAGGAATAACGTTCTGTGTACTCGAATCGTTTGCCCTAGCGGTGCGAGGGGATAAAAGGACGTGGGAAGGGTTAGTCGTGGAGATAACAGAGTTATTAGGTGTAGGAAGTACTTGAAAGCGACCAACTTGGTCTCATGTGCAGTTAAGGGTATGAGGGCAAGTATCACTTCCCGGCTGCCCACACCGTGGAAGGGTATTTCTTGAGGGAGCTGAAAAAGAAGTTGGATTAGTATTGGTCTTAACGACTTGGGAGCGTGACCGCAGTGCCCAAGGGACAACTGCTTGAGGCCGGTCACGCACGGCCTTTTTGATGTGTTAGCTCCGTTCTTCAAAAGTCCTTACCGCCGGAGACGGAAATCCGTGGGATAAGGCGAGGTGTGCATTTTTAGGGTCGACCTTTTTTAACCCCACCCCTCCTTGTGGGAAGGCAGCATCGCTGTCATGCTGGTTGTCTGAAGGAAACACCTTACTGTTGTCACACCTCTGTACAGTCAGCAGTACGACTTCACCTTCGGACCTTGGGTTTGCTGGTTTTAGTCTTACCGCTCTTCAACCGACCTGTCTGGCATGGTAGGACCTTGCGAAACGAGTGTTCCAGCCAGCATAGCTTGATTGGTTCATCACGATAGGCAAGCCCAACCACCACGTCAAGGTATCAGCAACGGTCGGGAGATCATGGGGAACTTCAAGATGGCCTTTTATTAATTAAACTGTAAACTATTTCTAATAACATCTCAAGATGTCTGATTTATAACAAAAATGTTAGACATAATATGATCAAATTGACTTCGTCTTAATAGTTTAATACTCTCCCTACAAACGTCTGAACTGCGATAACGTCCAAAAATATACTTCAAGACCATTGAAATGTTAGGTTACGAGGTTCGGCGAGATGGATATATAGTACGAAATTACTACCAGCCACAGAAAGACTCTTTTGATAAGGACGAAATGCGCTCACACATCCTGAAAAAGGTTTAAAAATTGGAATAAAGTGATAGGGTAGGTTAAATGAAGGCTTGAGTTTATCACATTTAGACACTGTTGGTCTCATTCAAAAAAGCACCTTAGGATAATTATTTGGAACAGTTCACAATGTATAGAACATCAAAACGCGTGAATGCATATTAAAATATTGTTGCGTGTATATGTTTCCCATAAGTTTTAAATAAATTATTACTTTATCAAATAAAATATTCTTTTAATTGGGACATGTTATGATTTTATTTTCATAGACATCATCACGCAGGGTTACTGTCTCACTTTATCTCGATTTCGACAAAACAGCAGCAAATAATGTAACAGATTTAACACAAAATTGACAGGAATTGGGACATAGATTTAAATAAATTCGATAGTTATGTACAGTATATACTGAAGAAAATACCTATAGTTAATATGAAATGATTCAAACGTTTATTTGTCATAAAGCAAAGCTAACTGTTCATCAGTCAAATTAAACCCTTGTCTTATAATACGTTCTTTTTTCTTCTCTAAATTCATTTTTCTTATCAAATATTTCGAGTCCATTTTAATGGATGAGTGACGAAGTCGTCTCACATCCTTAGGATGTTCAACTGCTTTTAAATCACCTGGGTTGAAATGTGTAATTCTTGCAGTATTTGTTGTATTTGGCCATCCAAAACCAAGACGATCACGTTTTAAGACAGTTGCTACAGGAAAGCGTCGACCTTGTCTGAGAGCACCCAAACCGCCGTTTTTAATGCAGAAATGTGATTTAGACTCGTTAGTTGAATTGTCAGATAGTATTTTCAAAGTCTTCAGTTCTTCACATTCTGGATCGAGGGCAGCATCACGCCAACCTATTCTACTTAAAAGTTGATAACCTTTATTTGAAGGAGGAATTAACAGCGGCGATGGTTTCGAACTTTTGCTTGACATCTCAGCTACTTGATGACCAATAGATGAAACGTGTTTCTTAAAATCATTAAAAGAGCCACCACATACGGAACATTTAATTAAATTTGAATCAAGTGGTGAGTATTCAATTTTTTGAGTTACGCACTGTGTAAGAGATTCATAGAAATTTTTTATCTCTCGGCCAAAGAGATTAATGTTTTCAACTTTTGGAGACGCATTTGTTCTAGTTTCAGGACACCTTAGTGTTTCCGACACTGAACTACGAACAAAAGTCCTGTTAAGCAAGGTTTTGTCCACATTCTGAAATATAAGACAGTGTACGTTAATTATCATAAATTAGTGCACATATACACTGAATAAAAGTGAAGATATTGGCAAAAACTATCTTTATTCATAGAATGACAGTAGGTTGATTTGAAATCATACAGGAAATTTCGGGCCACCGTTACGATAGTTTCCAGATATGTCGGCTGAGCTAAAGTCTAAGCCAGGGTTTTCTATTTGTAGTCGCTGAATGGTAAGGTTTCGTTCCATTTCATCAAGAACTAGTGGGTCCGCCTTCCATTTATCGGTCATTAAAGAATGCCAACAGGTACCTGGACTAGCTTTGATCAGACACATAACCATCTACAAGATGGAACAAACAATGATAAAATGAGAGTTTAAAATAAGTTTATTATACTGCAATAAACCATTGTGAAATACTTTCCTCAAAAAAAGAAGTACTTCATATGCCAACACAACAAGAATTAGACGCAAAACTCTCAACAAATAGTGTATTTCAAAGTGAAAACTAACATGTGTCAACTTCAACACATGGTAAACCATTCACAAGATTTACTTCTACCTGTCTCCATTATCTGTTTGATTGATAATGCAGCCAGAAAAGTGTGAACAGCAGGAAGTAAAGTACAAATACGGTCATTCAGCACTAAATCCTGCATTACTTATCAAAACGTATACATGATATTCTAATAGGCTTTTGTTTTCAGTTGATAAATCTTCAAATATGAAAAATTACTGATAAATTGATGCAGTTCTATAGTGTATAATATACAACAGAACTAGGAAAATACACCAACTCACTTTATCACACTTCAGATAAAACGGTGAGAAATCAGATCACAACCAGTAATTTAACATCTCACTACAAAGTTGTCGGTTTCATATGTCGAATCCACATATTATTCTAACAATTATGAATTTTTTAATCCTACTTTATTTATTTATCTAACATATGTTAATTCTGGTACAAATAAGTAACAAAAATAGTATGCCCCATACAAATAATGGAATAGCATCGTGAAGAAGTAAAGGAGAGAACAGTAAAAAAAGATGAGTGATTAAGATTAATGTAGAGTAAGAGTTTAAGTACAAAGACACTCAAGAAGGACTCTTCAAGTCACTGATTTGCACCATTTCTAGGACACCAACCAGGGAGTCATGATGGACTGGCAGATGCTAGCCCAATACGAATTTTATACCACAGCACCAAGTAATAAAATGAAAATCTCTAATTTGCCATCCATTCTTGGAGTTATTAAATAAAGCAGAGTGGAAGGCACTGAGATCAAGTTAGTAACACATATCCAAAACACCGAGGCTGGTGTTTCGAAGTGATAATACCAGTTGAATTACTGTCACTGTACCTGGACACACTGTCGAACCTCAGCTTTACTAACATGATGTTCCCACTGAATGTTAGCAGTCCTTCGGATACAATGCGGATTGCGAACAGAGAGTCGTGTAGCATCTCTAACACGGAGATGGTTTTACAAACATACAGCAAAACTACTCCCACTGACACATTGTAAACCTGATCTCTTACACCCAGAATAACATCATGATGGCACCGAAAATGATTCAGATCGCTATAAGCCGTTCTAGGCTTTACTATACGCTACCATTAGCACCCACACAACTACCTAGAAACAGGTGCTTTTCAATCGCTTCTAGCGGCCCAGCACCATGAGTGAATGCAAACACAGACTTCTGTCAGTCTTGTAAAAGTACTTTACATTTACTTGAAAATCACACGCGATACCTACGGACACTGGCAACTGAATAACTGTATAGCTTCATTATAATCCCACAACAATGCAGTATAATCCGTATATTCATGATAAAGTCTTTCTCCAGGAGACAGACCAGCATTATCACTACTTGCTCCCATCGGAACTGCTTTCAGAATGCAATCGATGGCGAAGTTGAAGAGTGATGAGTTTGTGAAACCCTACCTAACCTCACTGGTCGAATGGAACAATGAAGAGAGATTGTTGTATCACCTCACTGTCAGAGACATTAGTGTACGAAGCCTTTAAGACGCTCATAAACTCAGGCACAGTCTACTTCAACGGACAATCACAGAACATAGTCCTGTTCAACGAATTGAAGGTGTCCCTAGCATTAACAAACACACTGATTGTCGGTTTGAAATGAATACTGAGCCGCTCTAAAATTTGGGGGAGTGTGATGTTGTGATTAATTCATCCAAGACCAGAACGAAAACGAGCCAGCTCCTGACGAGTTAGCCGTTTACGGGCTTCGTATTATTTGTGAAGTACAACAGATGTCAATGGTTTGGACACAGTTGAAAGCAGACTTATTTCCCGATAGTTGCCGCACAGATTATCTAGCCCCTTTTCACAGATGGAGACAATGCTCGTTTTAGTTCACAGTGTCAAGATATTCTGTTTCTCGAATTTTTCCAAACGCAGTTAGTTCTCTGACCAGAAGTTCACTACCATTTCTAAAAGAGCCTTGGGAAAGAGAATCTTAACCTGATGACTTGTGATACTTCAGAATTCGGAGTCCCTCGCAGACCACCTTGCTAATCGGCTCAGTTATCAACGGCCAGAGAGGACAAGACAATTTGATCGACAGCATAAATGCTGAACTGTTCGTCAAAAAAACTCAATCCATCTTTTGAGATGTTCTTAAATGTTACCAAATGGTGTACCATCAGCTATACAAATTGCTTCGCTGAAACCAGATTGTCCGCTGCGAGTGGTTGGGGTGAGCTAAAACAGCTTTCAGTTGGTAATTGCAGCTGCAGCTTTCAACTCACTAGCACACTCCAACTAACAGATTTCTATGTCCTTAGTGAAACTTTGCAAAATAACTCGGCACACATTATTCCAGTTTCAATGCTAACGAAAATTGGTCAATATTAATGCTTAATATCAACAAGGAGAAAACAAAGATCCTCGTGAACTAATTAACTACATTACAGAACCTATTTACGAAATTATTAAGTTTCATCTAATTTCTATACCATTCTTAATGCCTATTCAAGCTCTCAACAACTACATTCTCAATCTCTTAGTAAAGATAACCTCTCTGTGCTTCTGTTTACTACGTTACTGCACTCAAGAAATTACTGTTGTAGTTGTGTAGTATATTATTGATTATTGTTGTGGGAAAAAAATGTAGATTTGAGAATTTACAGCCCTAAGCATGAATTCGCCGAAAAGAGAAATTCATGCGAAATCAATAAGTTTTGTTTAACTTACGATCTGAGACGACGGTCAACCTTATGGGTTGCTGCTAGTTTGTAGGTCCAAAACTTTCTCATTTTCCTTAAATGTAAATCCTTATTATGCAACCTCTTATTCCAAAACTTGTTCGACTTTAACGAATGACTTCTGTTATGAGGATAGGTTGAGCGATTTTCCCCACACCATAAAATTAAGTATTGCAGTGTATAGTTCAAATAGAGTGATTTATAATAATAACGGTACTAAATAATTACGGTTAATAAGTTAGGGTTTACTTTTTTTGAATTTAAAATTTTGGATAGCGGTGTAGAAACTTACGCGCTTCTTTTCATGAAGGCTCCAGGTGGATTCACTTGCTTTTATAAGGCTAAATAAGTTACCTGATAACCATGGCTGCTGACCAAGAAAGCCACAAGTGATTGTACTATTGGTAATTTTACATACAATTTGCTTCACGTCTACGATTTGTCGGAATGGAATTTCGACAAAAACTTCTTGAGTTGTCTGCCACCAGCTCCCCCAATCAAATGAGGCACAAATTTCTCCGGACGGTCCTTTAAGATGTGTCTGTAGAAAAAAAATTAATTAGTACACTAACTAGTAAACGACAAAAAGATTAACAAACGTTTAGTAAGTAGTATGATGAAAACATGCTAGATATACAATTAATTGGAAATTTAATGCAGCTCAGAAACCAACTGGATTTTTACGTACTCGATTGAGTCATACCAAAACCCATGATATCTTGATTTTGACCATCAAAGTTAACTTAAGGTAGATAGTGCATGAATTTCTCACTGCAGTTATATTTCAGTACTATTATACCAACATTTACAGGCGAAAATTATGATCAAACCTTAACACTCGTATCCATTAATTCCAAAAAGTTAAGTTTTACAGTTAGAACAAGGTACTTAACGTGCAACTTAGCTGATTAATCAATCGAAGACAGAAGAACATTTTCATGGAAGAAAAAAGCCTGGTGAAACCATTAATATAATTGACCGGTGAATATATCAAGAAGCTCGTTTTAATCACGTGTCTTCAGTGAAAAACATAGTTATTTAAATCTGGGAATAAAAAATCGGAATTTAACAGAGATTACCGATCGACACATTGAAAATTTTTTTTCGGTATATCTACCAATTAACATAGAAGTTCTCCGTGAGGACTACAACAACAAGTTTCACATGAGAAATTTTTCTTTATGGAATACTATCGGAATTAGGTATGCGTAGAACATAAAATATCTGAAACATATGATAACACAGTGTTAGTACAACAACAGTATTTCATAGAATTTCCAGCGCTTATCCGACTTTGGGTAGTAAAATGTTCTGAGAGTTGAATTTAAGGAGCAGAAACAGTACACAGTTGTACAGACCTAACGAGAATACCCAGTGATATGTGAGGATCATAAGGCATCGTGACAGTCGTAAGTGTCTGATAATTGTCTAGTTATACAATATCCAACCACAATGAAAATTCTATAGCGATTTTCCACAAGATTGAATGCCCTGGGAGTTTGGAACAATGGGTCACTAGCTAAAACACTGTCTTCAAAAAATATGTGGCAAATATGTAACCTGCTTTACTGACTCCAGTTTGAGTAGGATTGTTAATCCGCATAGTGTTGTTTTATCCTATTTATAAATAAATATACTGCATGGCCCCCAAATGCCCTGGTACGGTCGAGAGTCTGCTCTCCCTCTCGAAATGCTATCACATGGCCACGAGGATACAGCCTCTGCCAGCGAAGCCCTACTCACTGCCTTCTCGTGGCGAGAGTGTTGTTTACGAAATTGAGAGGACGAAAAGCGAATGTCCGGCGCTTTA